GGTGACAGCAACAATGTTCTTCTGTCCTTCTGCAGAAGGAACATCTTCCTGCATCACCCAAGATCTTTGCCCTTATGGACATCCTCTATCCCTGGCTGCATTGCCCTGGACAGCAAATTGCTCATCTCCACACAAAAGGGTATGAATTTGAGCAACAAACACATTTCTCTTGGGTTGATAAGCAGACCCTGTCTCACCACTATGAGGTAAATAAAAAACTAGATCTACATTTTAAAGAAGTAGAAAGAGACAAAGCAAAATCAACATTTTAAAGTCAATTTTAAATCAAATCTTGAGTCAAACATAGAAAGAACTATAATGACAAAAAGATTACACAGTGTTTATCATAGATGTTAACTAACAGAAGCCCATTGTATACTATACGGTGATTTCATAAAATGAAACCTACCTCCACGACCAAAATTGCCAAGATCATTTGGTCCACTAGTGCTGTTGTTTACTGGCAGACTTGTGGCAGGCCAAGAGTCTGCAAGCCAAGGATAACTGGGGTCACTTGCATTCAACAGACCTGGTCGACTGAAGCAGAATAAGAAAAAAAAAAAAAATATATATATATATATTCAAACATACATATATATATGTATGAGACCACTAGTTACTGAGGAGTTCGTATCACTGTTCTCCTAACACCGTAGGTAACAAACAGTTTAGGAGGCTTTAATTTATTTCAAATTAAAATTGTGTAGCCTTTGATGATTTAAAGACCTTGAGCAGTTAATTAAGGATATATACAAATCAACTTTGTCAGTAGAAGTGGGACTAGACATCCGTCGTGATTCTGCCAGAATCCAAATGAACTCCATTGTCTGTGTGAAACAGGGGTTAGGCAGCACCATCACAGAATCCTACACCAGGGCTGAATGATAAATTACAACCTCAAGGGAGCCATCACTCAAACTGATTGCTCCATATCAGCCATTTCCAGGACTTTGGGCTACTATTTCTTCCTTCCCTTGCATCCCAAATGCACGCCTGTCATCTACAGGCTGGTAACTCTTTCTTTGAGCAGTCTTGGATGGTTTAGAGGCAAACGGGTTTGAGTAGGATTAATGGAAACTCCACAGCTATCTTTATCTGCCACTACTGCATGGCTTTTACATCCCTGTAATTCCCAGCTTTGAGAGCAGTATTAAATGACGAGTATGGTGAAAGAAAAGGTACACCGGGGCCATAAGACACTGTGTCTCTTTCACCCCAGGATAAACAGCCAGAAATACAGCAAGGCAGATGATTGCTTGCATTTGTATTTAACTGGGAAAAGAAATAATTTCCTGCAGACACCCCCTTCTCCCAAACAAAACCAAAAAACCATTCACAGTTCTGCAGCTTTTCTAGGTTATTAATGTACTCATGAAGTTGGAGCAACATCTCTGATCATTGTATGTTATAGACCCCCGCCTGGCACAATCCCTAAGAGAAACATCAGTTTCTATGGAAACGGCAATAAGAAGACCCAGCCGCTTTCTTGCCACATCTACTCGCTCTCATTAGGCCTAATTTCTTTTTGCTAAAATATTGATTAAATGGGAGATTGGAAGTTATTACCAGGGCCTAATTACATTCTCCATATTGGCAAAGGGAAAATAGATGAGGATATATGGGCCCGTTATCAGCTTTTATCAATTTCAATTGAGTAGCCAAAGTTGTGGAATCCAGTCCTATCAATCTACAGCCTATTCATCATCCATGAATCATTTATTTTGTGATCGATTAAGTGTAATTGTTCACTCACAGCAATTTAGGGGGAGCCAATAAGGAGTCTTAAACAACAGCAACTTCATTTGCTAATGTCTAATTAATGCAATAAACATCCCAGTAACAAATGAACACATTCCTTGTGATATTTACTACTCATTTCTTCCAGGGCATCTGGGAGATATGAAACATCTGGGCTTGATTCCTCCAAAGTGCACAACAGATAGGTCATTAAACCTTGTGGTAAACTACTTAACTCCTCCTAGCATTGTCAATCTTCCAAATTATTGGTTATTACCCAAGTGCATCACCTACAGCATTTTTCAGATCCCTAATTTTAAAAATAAATAGCATGGAAAGACCTTTATACAAAGAAACATACCTTCCATTGCTCATTAGTCCCCCATCTCCTCTTTGGAAAGTCACTGTGTTTTGGTTGGAAAAAGAAAACAAACAAACATACACACACATGCACACACACATATAAGAGAGGGAAAAATCAATTAGTAATAATTAAAAGTAACAATTCAAACTGCTTGGTCTGAGATCGGAAGCCTCTTAGCAGCATCAAATAATAAAGTACAGAAAATATGAGAAGGAGATCAAATGCATTAGGGTTATGATTTGCTTAGGATTTCACTGCACCTTATTCACAAACAACATTTTTCTCCGTATCTTGCAAGGCAAACCAGAATCCTGGGTAAAAGGCCTGAATTTACCATAGGCCCCTTCATATGACTTTGCATTGCAAGACTCTGCCATGTGATGAAATTGTTTTCTTGGCATGGTTTTGCTTCAGTACATAATGACATTGCAGCAGTGAGTTAATAACATCATGTCGTAATGCAGTAATATAATGTCACCACACAAATATGCCATTTCCCTGAACAAATACAAAGAGGTGTCAGCTCTATTAGAGCTGAAGGCGTGGAAAAAAGCATACAGCTGCACCATTTCCATTAAAAGTACAGTATAAGAACCAGCATCGACACATAAATGCATACATGACAACGTCACTGGGAAGAAAATGTCTTTCCAGTCTTACCACGGGTCATGCAAAAGATACATTCAGAGGGAGACAATTGTTTTTATGGCTCCATTCATGGGTGTGTGACAAAAAAACCTAGCCTACCCTTATCTATCTTATTAACAGGATTACATTTCAGGGAAATAAAGGTAAAGCCACATTACCGGTGGGATGCTAATTGACAACGTTTGATGCTCCTTTTTGAAGCACTGGCAAATATTTTGAATCAAGGCCAACAGACTACTCTGGTTCTCAGTGGCAATATCCCATTATTTATTGTCAGGCATAGATAAGGCAGACTTTTAAATTATATCAATGTTCTGGACACCTGCATCCTTACAGGCCTCTGACAAGATGAGGGTTTGGATTTCAGAAAGAAATGGAAGAGTCTGTGGACAGACTAATTCAGAATAGGCCGTGGTTTGGAAATACTATTAACCTTTGTAAGACAGACATTACCATCACTAAATTACAGCTGCCATAGTATCTGCAAGATTTTCCAAATATTAGTCCAACCTACACTAATTTAAGATTAGGCTTTCTATTATACACCATTCTAATCAGACAAAATCACTACACCTAATAGAAATGTTGTGATCGTTAAAAAAAATCAGCAATGACATAAATCCACTGGGAAAATACTTCTAATACCTTATAGAATCCTTGTCACTTTATTAACTCCTAGGATAATTTCACAGCCTACACTCAGCAAAGGGGACAAAACTGGCCCCTCTGGAAGCCTTGCTGAAAGAGTGCTTGGGTAGGGTGATTAATTACCCCTCATTGCAGAACAGACTAATATCAATATCAGAAAATCACTGCAGTCATATGTCACATCAAAATAGTTAATGGCTGAATTTTGAAAGAATCTAATCAAACCAATTAATGAAAGAAAATAAAAATGCAAGTATGGGAGTATTAAATAAAAGTCTGCTTTGAAAAACAAGACGTTAAAACATTGCAGCTAATTAATTTTAGAGCTGATGCTACTTTCATTCACATTGTCTCTAAGAGGCTGTCAAATGACTGTATCACTCATGGCTTAAAAGTGAATAATCTGAAGTGCTGTCGATGTCATGTGTGAATATGCAAAGAGGTGGGTACTGCCTGGCTATGTTTCAAAGTACGTTGGTCAAAAGAACACCAGATGCTGTCTCCTTTCTCCTCTCCCCCTCCAAATGTGATACTCCATTTCTCCAACTTGCTGCATTTGTCAAAGCAACAAGAAATAAGGAAAATGAGAAATAAAAGACGCAGTCAATAACAACCCTTATAAATAAAGTTTATAGATTTAAAGGAATTCCAGTAAAACATATTTTCTGAAAACTTAATGCTCTTGTTTAGACTATCATTGACCAGAAATAATTTTAAAGCAACATTGTCACCATTTGTATAGCATGTTCAGATGTGTGAAATTTTAACAGTGCATGTCATATGGGAAAAAAAAAATCAAAATTTGTAATCTTACACCCCCTCAATATAAACACTGATTTTAGAGGAAAGGTTCAGCTTAGTTTATTAAAAAAAGAACTTGTCTTGCAGTGACATTGTTTTTCCTGAGGAAGACTATTCCTAGCCTATGCGATGTGTGTGGAACTGGGAAGGAATACAGGCTCTTTCATTTACCCCCCACCCTGAACACCAATGCAGGATGGTAATAATCTTCATGAGAAAATAAACAAGTAATTATTTTAGCTACTATTCTTGGAGGAAAAGGCTCAGGAATATCAACTAAGCTAGCCAAAATTCCTCTTGAAGTGTGGACATGTCATCAGAATGTTACAGAAAAAAAAAATCACATTCCTGTTGACATCCATAAATGGGCTACCTGAGGCTGGATAGAGAAGGTGTCTTTCTTTTAGCATCAATATTATGAAAGGAAAGTCAGCTAACAACAGAAGATATGGTCAGGCTGCCAACACAAGCACTGTGTTTATCATTCCTGCCGTACGTTTTGTCAGCATTTTTGCCTGCAGTTTGATTTCTGCAATTACAAAACAAGTCTAAATGCCTGAGCAGGAGCATACTTAATGGAATGCAGGCTTGTAGATGTCACTGTAAAAATAAAACACACAGACAGCTAGCTTTATTCATCCTGTCTCCACTTCAAAAAGAGGCAGAGCAATTTCAAGGGGCAATGTAAGACGAGGAAGGGAAGGATGTCCCTATCACTGACCCACCCTTCTCCCTGGTTTTTATCACCAATGAAGCAAAAAAGCTCTTTCAGCACTCTTTGCATCTGATATATTTTCTTAGAAAGCCTGAAGACCTGCAGGGATGAGATTGGTTTTCAAAAGAACATGAAAAAATAACCTCTGCAGAGAGAGATTTTGAAGGAATCCCCACCAGCTTATACTTCAAGGACTGTAAAGATGCAGAAATATAATCCAAAGTGCATTTTAAATGCATAAATATTTAAGGAAATTATATTGTATATATATTTGTCTGAAGAACAGCATACATTAAGGAGCTTTTCACATGCTTTTTATTAAATATGTAAGGAGGTACCCAAACCATTTAGTAATATTACCTGACAAGGTTAAACTTAATCTTCATGCCTGCTAGAACTGGGAAAATACGATCCTATAGTAAGTTGACATTCTGAGGCAAGAAGGCTTTAGAAAGCTTTAGAAAGCTTTCTGTATGCCTATCTCTAGTAGGCCACATTTTGCTACCGCAAATGAAAACTTTAATGTTGCCAGCCAAGTCTCATTCCTTTTTCTGATAAGCTGTTCCTCAAATATGAATGTAGATTAATCCCTTTTTAATAAGCATTAACTCAGAACAGATAATCAGCATATAAAAATTCCATCAAATCTGTCTACCTCTGGATGATTCTGCCAAATAATTTATGCTCATTTAACAGTTTCAGGAGTTGTGCATAAAATGTGTCGCATTCCATAATTGTCTATTTTTAATTTGTTTCTGTTTACTCAGTTTCATGAAATCTTTAATCCTAAGGAGCACTAGTCACTAAATAATCTTACCTACTCATAAGTGAACATACATGTTTACTTTCTTTGCATGACTGATGGCCTAGACACTTGAAAACACCTGAATATTCAAGTGAGTGGGTACTAGCACAACAGTGAGTTTGAGGGCACAGGCTAGATAAACAGATAAATGAAATTTCTCTTATTTTTACAAATGGATTCCATGCCTTTGTTTCAAGTCCTCATACCAAAATGTGAACACAGAATTGCAACTTCCAGTACAAAATAAACATATTATGTTCTGTCATTGTAATACAGGAATGAAACAATTCATCTATTATATGAGAAGTGGTCATACACCTCTTTTGTGTCATCTATTTTTTCTTGCATCATCTAGAAACCCACTGTGAGTGTTTATCTCCAAGCAATCTGAGTAAAGGCTAACCATAAAAATACAAAAAAATCCCAGTGCAGCAGTACTTTAGCTTTTACAGAAACTCACAAAAGTAAGATCAATCCATCCTTTACATCACAGAACAGATGACTGGAAACAAGTAACATTTGCGTTTAGTGGCGGCTCTGTGCAAGATTTGGTTTTGTTGATGGTATGCCATGGTTCTGAAAATGTATACTACTTGTGCAACTACAGATGATGACACTACTACTTACCAGTAGTTTTCTAACAAACAGGTGAAAATCATATGTTTTGTAGTACTGATATTACAGGGAATCAATGCCTGGTGAGTCATGATGGGGAAAGGGACATAGAAGAATAGTGATGTACAGAATTGTGGCTCAGTAACTATTGGAACCAGCTCAACTGAAAATAAGTAAAAAGATTTAGGTATGATTTTCAATGTCACTTTATGTGTGACCATCTGAGCAATTGATCAGTACTTATGAAAATGTTCACAAAGACTGAAATTTAAAGAATTTAACTCAATCAATTATTCTTCTCTGGCACAAATCTTTACCAATTGCATGACATTTGCTGTTTGCTCTCTCCTACACAGAGTGTTACAACAGTTTACTCACACAACAGAAATGATACCTCTTAGGAGTCCAATAACAGAATACAAATAAAAAATATTCCCAGTGAATGACCCATAATCTGAAAATTACCTGAAAGAACATTTTTAGCAAGTACTTATATAACTGCAGAATCCAGACTTTTAAACTATTTTTAGTGTTTTTAGTACTACACTTACGCAGATGCAACTAAAGAAAACCAAACCAAAAAATATTTACATCAGAAATAACTGAAATAGATTTTTATCTTGTATCTGAAATAGAGGAAGTATATGAATGTTCTACAAACACATTCAATTCTCTTTATTATACAGTCAAATCTGCACATTCTGCAGCTTTCTGAAGAATAAAACAGATGTCTGAGAAAAAGTGTGCACTTTGTAAAATATGATTATCTTAGGATAAATTCATCTTTAGTAAAACTTTATGGACAGCTGTCTCTGACGAGATTCTGAAAGCTACATAGCACTGTCTAAATATTTAGATCTGAAGCCGAACTGTTTATGAATCATAACTTTGAAGGGAACAACATACAGTTGTGAGTATCATCAAACCCCAAGCATAGATAGTTTGTCTAAATGAGATTAGGAATGGCAAATTCAAATATTAGAGAACTAATGATGTTTTAGGGAACTCTAGACTTAAAGATGAAAAACATGGACTATTTTCTTTCATACAAACTCTATTTTTTAAAAAAATTAATGATTTCTTTCTTTGGACTAGTGGATGACTGGATCTGGAGGCAACTGCCTCCAGACATGTTTATAGGCCATGAAATAGAACTATACGCTGTTAAAGTTCTATAAAGTCCACGAGATGTCAAAACTGTTCTTAAAAAGGCAAATTTTTGGCAGTGCCTCTGACATATTCTAGTTGCCCAGCACACGTGCTGCACTGAATCATGCTCAGTCACTGTGGCTCCAGAACAACCCTGTCATGCTAATGTGTGCTACAAAGACAATGGAAAAGACTCACCACAGTTACAGACAGCTGACAGCAGCGTAATCATAGGAACCAAATGCAAAGATGCATTGCTTCATTTGGAAAAAATCCTATGTTGTGTCTCAAAGAAAAGCAAGTAAAGCGTTTAGGGTAGGATGTGTTGTGCCACAACTTACAGTAACTTGAATGAACACACCTGGAAGCCAGAGGAGCAATTCCTGAGCCCCCACAGCTTCTCCACGAGGACATTTCTCCCTCACAATGTCACTCGTTCATCTGACTCATCAGTCATCTGCTCTGTCCTGCTAAGTTAAACATGCAAGCTGTGGCTGAAGATAAGCAAGAGCAAGAAAGCAGCTAGCT